AAAGCTGGCGTTTAGATGCGGAAAAAAACCTAATAAGTCCTTAAAACTAGCCATTAAGTTTAATTAGCGGTTAAATTTGATCACGCAAGATGTTGAAAAAACGGGAAAATTAAAAAAAATTGACCGAAAGTCTAGAAGTTTTTTGGAATTCAAATTAAATTGTTCTTAATCATCTTAAATAAAAATGGACAAAAAAACAATCCAATGGGAAAAACTAAGAAGATATATAACTCATCAAACTAAGGTAACGTGTGGTTATATTTTGTTTTCCTAGTTGCGTTTTGAATTTGACCTAGTTGCAATATTTTATTTTTCAGTATTGGATTACATTTTTCTCTAGTATACACTAGTAGGCAAAACCAAGCTCAACTTCACGATTTGGACTATGAAATGCCTGTTTTTGTTTAGAGTTTCAAAAATGGGAGGAAATTTTTATATAGAAAAAAAGCAAAAGACCATCTATGGAATTATAAAAACTTGATTTCGAGGACTTAGCAGTTTCTTCCTGATTTAAAATTACTTGTTTTTACCATCTGAACCAGTCTTTCAATGCAGCAAAAAAACGTTTTGGAGAAGCGGAGTGAACATTTTTCATGCACTAAGAAACTTTCTTACCAATAAAAGTGAATCGTTTCTTCTTACAGCTTATTAAAATTTGGCTGTTTTTGACAATTTTCCATGTTTCGGAAATTGTAGTGCAAATAAATTTTTCGTGTCTGAAAGAAAGTGTAATGCCATAAATTGTAACTTGGAGAATTTGATAGAAAAAAGCTTTAATCATTTGCTAGTGGAATGTGTAAGTTTTTTTTTCAAATTCGAAGTAATTGATGTCAAAAATCATCCTTGAAAAACCATAGTGATTAAAATGGAATAGTCAATTTTATTCTCTAGTGTACATACACTTATGTACAAAACTATGCGTACACTGATGGACAAAATTTAGCGCAAAATTTCACGTTTTAGCCTGTTTTAGATGTCCATTTTGAACAAAATTTATTTCGGTTTTCAGCATCATTCTTACAATAAGCAAGAGCAAATGATCAGAGCTACCCCCGATAAAACTATTTGGTTTCAAAGATTTGCAAATTTAATCCAAGTCTGAAAATGCCAGATTTTATCATCTGCATTAAGTTTTGCATCATAGTGACCTCTTTCTGGAATAATCGGAGTAAAAAAAGTGTTTTGCACCTATATATTTGCATCCATCATTTGCTCTTGGTCTATATAAAATTTTGCTAAAAGTTGAAGTAATTTTTGTCCAAGACAAAATTTATTCTAAGTTAAACCTTGAATTTTAGCGTAATTTTGTCCGCTAGTTTAAGTTTACCTTTTCACTTTCTAAAAGGCAATCTAATAGGGACATTTTAGGACAACCTTGATCTATTTTGCGCAATTTTGCCCAAAAACTTGCATCGACCGACTGTAAATGATCTAAATTACCCCATTTAAAAAACTTCAGTTTTAGTTTGAGTTTGAGACAATTTCCAGTTTCTTTTGGGTCTGAAAAGGTCAGATTTGCAATAGATTTCCCATGGGAGTGAATGTCTGTGTAATAAGCAGTTCAGTTTGATAATTTTCCTCAATTCTATTGTTGCTTATAATTTCAGACCGTTCGAAAAGTTTATTGAAATTGATCAAAAAATTATGAATACTTTCGAATATGCTAGTTCAGATCAATTTCAGTCGATTAATATAGAATTGTTGTTATAAACCTCAGTCAAATTTTTTGAAACTGTTCTCGAAATCGGGAATTTCAGAGAGTAAAAACTTGTTTTCATGCTTACTTTTTCCACTATTGTACAAACTTTTACAAATCATTATTACGGGAAACTTTGATTACTAGAAAATTCGAACTATTCTGACTCAGTATGTGCACAATTCATTTTATGTAGAAGATAAGCAACAGCTATGTTTGCATCAGAAAGTTTATGAATAAAGAGATGCAGTGTCGAGATGTGAACAATTTTTGAGATGCAATTTAAGCTGTTTCTTATCTGTTAAAACACGCACATTCGAAAAAATTTTCTCGTCAACATAGTTTTTTTGTATATCGCCTGTTTGATTGTTCAAATAAAGCACGAAAACATATTGCATACTAGCGTTTTAGTTTTTGAATATGGCAGGGAAACATATTAAACCCATAAGCTACATTCGAGAGCAAAACAGTGTGTTCATTATGTTTCCATGCTGTATTCGAGAAACTCTAATAAGCAATATAATTCCGTGCTTGATTTGAACAGCCAAACAACCGAAATACACTAGTGGACAAAATTAACCGTAAATTCAGGATTTTTCTCCCTAAAAGGCATGTTTTTATTGCCCATTTTGGACAACAATTACTTCGATTTCCATTAAATTTTTCACGTAGACCAAGAGCATATAATCAGAGCTACCCTTTGAAGCTATCAAAAATTAGTTTCACTGACTTATAAATGCAATCCGGCTCTGAAAAGGGCAGTTTTTGCATCGTTATGCATTCTTTCTTGAATAAGCAGTGTAGAAAAATTGTTCGCTCGACGTGAAATATTCTCTGCGAGAAAAAAATGGAAGCAATCAGTGTGACAATTTTACTAAACTCGGACGTTTCTTAATTTTTCACGCGAAGTAAAAAACTTAGTGCAAAAGAGGAAAACTGGCCTTTTCAGACCCGGATTGCATTGGTAAGTCAGTGAAACTAAATTTTGATAGTTCCAAAGGGTAGCTCTGACTATATATGCTCTTGGTCTACGTACAAACTTCAATGAAAATCAAAGTAATTTTTTCCAAAAGTGAGTAAAATCCTGAATCTGCGCTCGATTTTGTCCAGTGTAGAAAAGAAGAGATATGTGTTAAAAAGAAGAACTATGTTCAAATGTGCAAGTTTTTCACATGTGTTTTATACCAGACAAGCAGCAGCTTACAACGCATCTCGAAATATGTTCACATCTTGAAACTCCGTGTCTCGAGGCAAAAGAGTCTAAGTTTTGAGAAGCAGAACATATCCGCCATTGAATTTGTGTGAATTGAAACAATTATGATATGAGTTATTTGTTATACGGAAACTTATTTGTTTTTACAATAGTTGATCTTGAGGTCCAAAACTACCAGTTTTAACAATCTGCAGTAGGTTTTTCCAACGGCCTGAATTTGAAAGAAACAAGTGAGCTTAGGAATTAACTAGTATGAACTGATAAGTACTCAAAATCAAATAAAACTTTTCATTGATGATAGCTTTTAGCTTTTTGAACCGGACTTAACTTGCATTTCCTTGAAATCAAATTTTGTTGTTTTCATTCATGGTAGTTTGGTCACTTACTCTCTGTCAATTTAAAACTTGTATTCAATTTCTCAGTAAAAAACTAAGATTGTCTTCAAAAACAAGCATTTTGAGAGTAAAGGATTGAATTTGCGGTTAATTTTGTCCATTAGTCTATATCAGCAGATTAAAAACTAAGCGCCCACTAACGCTTCAGTTCTGAACTTAATGAATCAGTGAAAATAGTATTTTTTTTTGTAGAATTTTCAGTAAGGAGTTTTTGAGAATCTTTATTTTTCCTTCCATCGTGATTTCTCATTTTTTTGTATTTTTAATTTGTAAGCAATTCATGTTTTGTTACACTAAAAACGTAACTAGAAGTTTTTTGTTCAATATATGCTACTCAATTATGTTTTTTGAACGCTGACATAAAATTTGCTCGAATAAAGTAGTCTTGTCACAGAAAAAAAAAACAAATAAGCTATTATTGGAAGTGTTTTTGAACTGGTCGAATGAGAATTGAAGTATAAATAATATAGCAGAAAACCTATTCTGGGAAAATTGGAATATGGGATAATTCAAGCGTGTTTATAGGTTTGAACCTAATTAAGTTTTTGATATATGACGGTTGAAAACTTTTTCTGGTGTTCGAAAAAATATAGAAATTTTTTTGATGAATCGATCAGATAAGCACTTTTATAGAGAGTGGATTTGCTGATTCTCAAAATCAAATTCAATTCAAAACAGCATTACTTGTCTCAGCAATTGCAATTTACGCCACCGTTACCATGCCCTGTAACTCCATCTCAACGGGGATGATTTTTCATTTTTTTTCTCAGCAACGTTCAATCATGATAAAAAAACATGCGCAGCCTCTAGCCAAAATAGCTTAAAATATTAAATTAACCTAAAAGACCGAAGGAAAATTGGTTGAAATAATCAACACTGTTTAGTTTGTAGTTTGTAACGTGGGGAATGATAATTATTGTGGGCTATTGGGCACTTTTTGCCATATTGCTCCAGGAAAATTATCATACCCTTCTCCTTTAGATTTTATGACTTTTTAGGACTGTAATCACACTCAAGACCGTATTTTGAGTGGGAAACTCTTTCAACCCGAACATTATGCAGAAAACTTTGTCAATATTTGTCAATAACTTATTAATTTTCGTCTAATTGGCAAAGGACGTGTTGTATTTGCGTTGGCCTTTCAAACGCACGTTTTTTTCTGAATTAAGTTTTTCCGACCGGAAGCAAATGAGAAACTTTTTAAACCATGAAATGGATCAAAACATAGCTGTTAGATTTTAAAAACTACCTATTCGTGCAATATACGTTATGTGTTTTTGGATTTTTGTGCAAAAAAGCTTTCTTGATTGAGTCATCTAGACTTTTTCTGAATTTTCCTTTGAGCCCTAAGACAAGGTCACACTTCTCCGAAAAAGTTTTAATATTTCTTCAAACTCCATACGCAAAAAATTATTTTTCAAAATTGTACTTAAATGTGATTACTAATCCAGTGGTCGAAGTTCTTAATCTTCTAACTCCAAGTCTTTCCTGAATCAACACAGAAGTAATTCCAAGTGATTTTTAGAAGTTACTCTAAAAACCTTAACAAAAGCGGGTAGATTTACCAAATGAGATGTCATTGTTGAAACTGAATACCCCGAAATACACGTCATTTGAGGGTGGTAGAAAAAGAGACATTTTACCATTTTTACAAGCGCTTTTTCCAACTATTTTCTGGCCAACTTACCATCTTTTTCGATCAATCATTGTCTGTCACGTGTGCAGTTTTCTTCATAGAGACCATTTCGCATTCTTTTCTCATCTAATTCCACTCACTTTCAATATTTCAAATGCATCTGGGATTTATTTTTCCCTATGCTGGCCGATCATTTATAGCGGGATTAAAGTCTGCATGCGAAGTACTTATACTTCGTGTACCAAGAGACACTCTGATTGTACGCCTGGAAAGCATTTCAGATAGATTATCTATCGGCCCTGTACATAAAGAATTTTCGCTAATGAAAACTTGAATTACAAATCAATACTGAGACGTTTTTTTTCCATTAGGGAACTGATCACAGAAAAAGTAGTTCAACCTCCCAATTAGATAAATCATGATCCGAAAAATTACTTAGTTAAATATGTTCAGCACCAAAAAATATATACACCATTATTTTTTCTTATAGGTTATTCACAAGTTTATTGTTATCCTTGCCCATTCTAACAATTGAACCATTTAGCCTGGAGGTTTTTTTGTGATTATTGCTTTGAATTTTTACAAAAGACCGCTTCACAGTATTATTTTTCAATAAAACTAATGCCAGTATTATTTCAGATTGCGCCGAAACTCTTATAAATGTGTCCTAAACTGGCTAAATTTTCCCTGGCATCTATTGCATGCTTGGCAAGTTCCTGGAACCCCCTGCAATGATAGGATGCGCCAAGACGCCCTTTATAAAATCCTTCTCTTTTTCTCGCTAGTGATGCATTTAACTTGCCCAGCAGTACCCGTCCTACAATCTACCCTACCGCTACCATGCCTTGTTACCCCCTCTTCACACGGATGATTTTTAGTTTATCTTCTTAGCAACACTCAATCAGAATCGGAGAAATTCTGCAGCCTAAAGTCGAAATAACCTAAAATAATAAATTACCCTGAAAACAGAAAATTTGTTGAAAGTTTCAGTTTGTACTGATACAAACGATAAATATATTAAGTTCTTGGGTGCTTTTTTGTTTGGTCTTCCCCCCCCCCCCCCCCCCAAAATGAATTTCTGCACGAAAAATTCCTTTCACTTTCCAGCTTCTGGATGATTTTTTGTGTGAAAATGTTGACAGCCATGACCGTATATTGCGCAAATAGCTATTTTAACCGAAGATACATACAGAAAACTTCGTTGCTATTCAATAATAACTAATTAATATCTTTGAAATTGCAAAGGATATGCTGTAATTGCGTTGGTGTTTTATATGCAATTTTTTTGAATAAAGAATTTTCGACCGGATGCAATGTGATATTTTTAAAAGCACGATGTGGATCAAATCAGAGCTCTTGTAAAAGTGCCTGCATTTATTTAGGAGGCTTAGCAGCTAAATGAATATATTGACTTTGTTTATTTGACCTAGAGACAGAAATACGAACGCCGGGAAAAAAGGAGGAAAAACACTTCGCTTGGCAAATTGAATTAAATCCTGTTAAGTTGACGGCAAAAAATTAGCGCAGTGTCTCAGTCATTTCCTGCAGACTTTTTCTACCTGATGTTGTTGAATTTTCACAACTCTCTGATTTCCATTTGCAATCTAATTTTTGAGAGAAAGTGAAAAACCTGAAGTGATCTGCTTCAACAGGAAAACTTGATTTTTTAATTGTTGTTTTTTGCCACTTGTTGTTTATTGTTTTTCTCAAGAGCACATCTTAAAATATACAATTGTCATTGGAGAAAACTCATTTAAAACCGACCTTTCTATTCGCTTATCTGAAAGCAAAAATCAATATATTCTATTTTCATTCCTAGATTTTTTTTATGGTTCCCATTTCCCTGTTTGATTTAAAAAGCTAAAAAAAGAAAATAATGATAATATCTGACCGTTAAGCTAAATTAATTGTTCGCCAAAAGCAATCAAATTAAAGGAAAAATGGTTTTCGTAGGTGTTCTTAACACTAATAAAAAAGTTTTTTTTTCAAAGGAAAAAGCAAATTTCCTGTTCTTTAAAGATTTAGTTTCCTGCTAATTGTTTACGTAGTTTTATCACATTTAACCATTGCAAACAGTAGTTGCCGTAAATCTGTTTAAAATCGACTCATTCTCACTTATTTGGAAACAAGTTTTTACAAAAAAAAGAGTCATTTCTGAAGATATGTTTCCTTTCCTTGATACTGTTTCTGAAAGCCGTTTTGTTAGTTTAGCAATTTTAATAATTCTGACAACTTCAATTAGTACTATTGTGACGACGGAAGATTTAAATACAATGGTTGATGAACAGAGAAATGAGAAATCATCTGAAGAACGGGTTCTGACGCGTTTGTTTCACGATGCAGTTGTCAATATGGACGGCGACCACAATAGGTCAACTTTTTGTATCAATCTTTCCATTTTTTCACGCATCATCTGCTAAAGGAAAATTTACCAAAATTAATTCAAGTCAGCCCAGAGGATTTATGAAACGCGTGAAGGGCAAAAAATAATATCTAAATAAAACTCAAACGTTTCAAACAAAAGTTTGAATCAAGGAGCCTTCTAAAAATTATTCTCCATTTAAAATACTCATAGCCTCATTCTTGCGCGTTAATTGTCCCAAATTGACCAAAATGACAATCTTTAAACCCCCATAATTAAAAAAAAAATGATCATAGGTGAAATATTTTTCAAATTTAAGTGCAGGGCAACAATAGCTTTCGATTGATACAAAAAAAAATCCGTCTACATTTTTGAAAGCTCTTAAAACCTAAAATTTACCTATAGAGAAGCTCCTACGCTCGCCACTGTTACAGATGATTTGAGTTTGGTAGGTGAAAAAATAATTTAAAAAAAATTGCGGTTCTGAATAGCGACAATAGTTTGTTAAACCGTCATTTTTGTAAACTAAGTGCAAAAGAACGAAGTGACTTTAAATTATATAGGTCTTGATGAACTTTGTTTCTTTTTATGAAAAGTCGTAAAATTTGGCGACTCTCAAGTTTGATTTTTCGCGGTTTGAGTTTTGATTTTTTAAACAAATTTAGGTTCATAACTTTTGTTAATATGTAGCCAAACTCCAATTTTCTCTAAATGGGATAACTTTCATTGAAAAAAGGCCAAAAATTCCTAAAATTTGAAGAAATATAATGTGATTTGTTTTTTTCTCAATTCAAAAATTGAAAAATAAGGATTTTTTTCGGTTTTCCTGTTCTTTTACAATTCTCCAACAGTTTGTTGGCTATGTTGGATAGTTTCAAATGGCCTCCAAAGATATGAAGTTTTATGGAATCGACTTCCAAAAATCGAAATAATTATTTTTCAGATAAAAATTACTACGGAACACATTGAATTTAGCTTTAATGCTACATGATAACTCTGAGAGTCCTATAATTCTTTCAAGTTCTATTTTAGACATCTATTTTAGAAGCAAGTAGGCCATAACGTATCGAAATTTTAAGAATACTTTTATTTTATGTTTCAGGTGCTTGCAGGGATTTCAGAAGTTCACAAGAATCCTTGAAAAGCAGTTCTCTCGCCCATCTCTCAGACAGATAACCTTATTAGTGTTTCTGTTTCCCCCCGAATCGGAGGTATAAATAAATTTATTCACGCTTTTGAAGCACTTGTCTATTATTCGATGAGAAACTATTTTGTGTGACTGTAGGTTTTCGCGCAGCATCGGATCTCTGAGGACCAGAAAACTCCAGACTTCGGACTTCAGAGGGAACAGGATAGAGATTCTGATCGAAAACAGCAATCTGAATCTGATATCAACTCTGCAATCTCAAACAGCGTTAGTAGAATTGAATCCAATAAAAATCCTACCATTCTCCAACCCCTCCTCCAGATCAAAAAAGAACCATGGTATAAACTTCAATTTTTATTCGAATTGTTTTTTTTAGCGCTGCGTGAAGAGTAATTTTTTTTTGATTAGCTCACATTTCCTAGAGAGAATCAATCAAACTTCATTTATCCAAAAAATGTACCATGGTAAGATCTTTGTTTATCATTTTGAATTGGTTTAATTTTTCTTCGCACTGGGTTTAAAATCTTTGATCCTGATTGGCATAAATTTTTAACGGAGAACCAAATTAACATCCTCTTTCTGAACCGCTCTTTCCAAACTCAGGACAACCTATTTCGTTCACTAAATTCAGGAGAAAACTATTTAATTCACTAATTTCAGGACAAAACTAATTAGTTCACTAAATTCAGGACAAAACTATTGAGTTCACTAAGTTCAGGACAAAACCATTTAGTTCGCCAAACTCAGGGCAAAACTATTTAGTTCACCAAATTCAGGATAAAACTAATTAGTTCACTAAATTCAGGACAAAACTATTGAGTTCACTAAGTTCAGGACAAAACTATTTAGTTCGCCAAACTCAGGGCAAAACTATTTAGTTCACCAAATTCAGGATAAAACTATATAGTTCACTCAATTCAGGGCAAAAGCAATTAGTTCACTGTATTCAGGACAAAAGTTTTTAGTTCACTAACTTTAGGATATACAATTGAGTTCACTAAGTTCAGGACAAAACTATTTAGTTCGCCAAACTCAGGGCAAAACTATTTAGTTCACCAAATTCAGGATAAAACTATATAGTTCACTCAATTCAGGGCAAAAGCAATTAGTTCACTGTATTCAGGACAAAAGTTTTTAGTTCACTAACTTTAGGATATACAATTTAGTTCATTAAGTTCAGGGCACACTATTTAGTTCCCTAAAATCAAGACAAAACTATTTAGGTCAATTAGTTCAGAATGAAAAGTTTTAAGGACACACATGTAACCAAAAAATTTACTTCCAGTCAATGACAAACCTTTTAAGAGTAATTTTATATTTGATGCAGTTAAAAATTCTGTCTAAATGTAGCTCTGGGTAATATTTTGGCATAAGAGCACACTTAAGTTTAAATGGAAGTCGAAAAAGAATAGAAAATTTAAGACATAGAAAAATTAAAGCGTCGAACTTGATTACTCAAGAAATTGCGAATCTCGATAACCCACTTGTTAGCCCCAAAAAATTTAACCCACTATTTTTAGACCCCAATATGTTATAACACCACAACAATTTAACTCCTTTCAGTACCGATATTCTGTTTCAAATTATGTCCGTTTGCATCTATAGTAGTATTCCAATTAAGTGTACGAATTGATGCTAAAGAAGCCATACGTAACTCACTAGATGCCTCTAGCATATCAAATTTATTTGCATTTTGATGAGCGAAAGATATCATTCACGCGTCTGAAACAGAGTTAACGTACATGGTCCTAATTGAAGGCAACAAAAGACAAAAAATAATACTGCTTTACCTTGAACCATTATTAAAACACTCAACGAGCTCTAAAATTTGGGTCGTTTCACTTTTCATTATCGTCCAGGCCACCAGTTCTATCTTTAAGGTATGAACAAAATAACTACGAACTGGAAATGCTCAAAATATCAAACTCAAAAAAAATCAAGCAACAGCAATTAAGAATGTCAACAGTTCTTTCGTAAACAAGAGGTGAGCGTAATCCTGAATTTTCTAAGCAAAAACCTGATTCCCGAATAGTTTTGAAACAAAAATACTAAGGATATGAGCGAGAGTAGTACACCAAACTTCGCAGTCACCACAGCAATTCATTCCATAACAGACAATTTTAACACTCAATTAGCCCTACCAACTAAAAAAAACTTATATCGAACTTGACTGCAAATTTTATGGTATGCAACGAGAAGAGGTTTTACCAGTCTCCCCAGTAACTTGAAACTTCGAAATACCTGAGCTGTTCAAGAACATTGTAAGATTTGACTATATGGCTTGAAGAGCTAAAAATACGAAAATTAGTAACCCCTGATAGTAGACCTAAAACCATTTTGCTGGATTTTGAGCAGACCACTTCACAGGCGTTTTGGAAAACTTTCGTAGAGTCCAAACTGTCTGAACATTTTTTTCACGTTTCTGAAAACTAGATGAAAAAAAATTTGGAACTTGGATTGCAAAATGAGTACTAAACAAACCACAAGTTTGTCTTAGCACTCAGAATATGACCCTCAATGGTTTTTGAAAAAGAATGATAAAATGGAATTTCTTACTTCAAAAGAGTCAAGGAAAAGCAAAGGTTATGCAATTGCCTTATTGAAGAGTCAGAAAAAATTGCAAAAACTCACAAGCTTTGCTTTTGTTTTTGGTAGTTAAATAAAAGTTTTGTCCCGAATCGAGAAGTGCTATTCCCTCTTTACTATGGAATCAAAGAGAAATCGCAATATCCCGTGTGATAAGAAAAACAATTGCTGTAGAAGGTTGGTATTTTGGCATACAGTCATGCTTCTGTGATTCGCTTCCCAGTATCATAAAAGGTTAGAAAACTTGCAAAAAGTCACATTTCCTTGAAAAACCTAATTTTTATAACGGCTCGACCCAAAACGTGCTTGCATTTCCTTTTTTGTGTGCTATGGTGAAGTCAAGGTAAAAATTTGTTTTATTTTTGTATACAAATGTTTGTTTTGTTTTTTTTTGTTTTGTAATCATTTGTTTATTTTTTGTATACATTTTTTCAAATTTTGTATGTCAATTTCCCGGATACGTAGAAAAAACGCACTGTTTCGACTCTTATTAGAAAAATTTTTCACCTAGCAGTTTATTGCTCATTTGGTGAGGCGTTAGCTTGAGACTAGGGGCTGATAAACCGCTCAGACAGTGCGTTGTATGCCGACAAATATAAAAAATGACAAATTTGGAAGTTTTTGAAAACATTTAAGTATTAGTTCAAAATGATCGGCATTTTAATGAAGCTTTGATTTTATCAACGTTTCGGTCTTAACCTGTTTTTTTTCCATATTTCATTTAAATTCAGCCAATTAGTCCGTTTTTAGCAAGAATATTTTCAAGATATTTTTCAATTTGAGTACTTTTTTTAGTCTAGAGTTTCGGCAAGTTCATTTCTGTTGATATGTAAACCACGCTTAGCAGCTGGCGTGCTATTTCAATTACTAAAAGTTTTTAGGCAAAGATTTTTTTTTTCGTTTTTAAATAGTAAAACTCACACTTCTTGACTATCAAGCAAAAACAATTTCTCTTATAAAAGCTTTTGGAGATTTAATCCCTCTAGAATTTTGTTGGGCTGTGTAAGAGGCTTTTTGTGATCTATGTTACTCATCAAGTAATAAAGTAGTTTCAGCGTAATTTTTGATTAATTGAAAAAAGCCAAAATTACTCTTTTTGGGGTAAAATTCTGAGAGTTTCGGAGAAAAAATTACACCATATTATTTCTGATGAAATTCTAAGCGACATTCGTTTTCTTCGCTTTTTGTCTTCTTAACCCAATTTGGGAAAAACTTTTAAAAATTCAAGTTTGGTTCTTTTTGTCCGGATAATTTAAATTAGCACTGTATAGGTCGCAATGATTTTTTTCAAAGAGCAAAGTCTCAAAATTGGTTGTTTAAGCTCAAAATTACTGTTTCGCGATTCACAGCTTGATTTTTGTTTTTACTTTTAAATTCAGATAGTTTCTTTTGTTCATAGGAACGTGAACTCCACTATCGAACAGCAAAAGCATAAAAGTCACGAGAAACCTGGTCGATGTCTAGTTTGGAATGTGGAATTTAGTTTTCAGGGTTTCTGGCAAAGTTTTAAAAATCCAGTGCTCTTACATTGGATAAAATTCATCAGAAATTGGCAATAACTAATTGTTCTACAAAACAAAGAGTATTATGGGCATCTCTTTTTTCTTTGAAATCCGAAAGTTGAGATTTTTTCAAAGAACAGATCAGTTTTTTTTCTGTTTACTCGCGTTCATCAATTTTTTTTCAACTTTCTATTGGCTTTGCTTTTAACAGTGTCAAAATTTTTTCAGGTTTACTATTAAAAGTCAATGAATAAAGTTCGGGCGATGATTTTTTATTTTTGTTTCAGGAAAAATCTTTAAGAACTTTTCAGGCTCAAAATTACTTTTTTGCTGTTTGATTTTTGATTTCATTTCAAATTTAGTTCACTTTTTTGTTAACACGAAACCAAACAGCGGGAAAATTTTTTTTCTTATTTATCCCTTTTTCAGATTGGATTAATTTCATCAGAAAAATGTCAATCATTAATTTTTCCCGAAAATCAAAACGCTTTAAGAATCATAGATCAGAAATTTTAAACTCCGCACTGTTAATACTAATCCCACAAAAAATAAGCAGACAAATGGTCGTAAGAAAAATGTTGTTTTTTTGTGGCGCTGCGCGGATGAATTTTCGTTGCCAATTTTTTAGCAGTTTTTGCTGACCAATTTCCTATTAATTTTTTTCTTCAAAAAATCCTAATGAATTAGGCGAACAAAGCAAAAAAGAGCAGTAATTATAGTTCAAAAAACATTGATCGTTAAAATTCTTGTAGAATGGAAGTTCGGAGGTCGGACTCATAGCAAACTGTCTAATTTTGTCTGAAAATGGAAAACACTCCAACCAGCTTTTTCTGACACTGAGGCAGCTTTTTAACTTTAAAAAAATTGGAATCAGTACTCATGGGGCTTTTTTGTTGTACCACAGTACAATTGGTCACCTATGAGTTTTTCTTGAAGCAGGCAAATTAGCTGAAAAAAAAACCGGCCTTAAACCGTAGTTGCTTTCCAGTCTTCGAAAATGGTCGGAACAAAAAGACTTATTACGAAAGAAATTAGATCGCGAGCCCATGAAACGTGAAAAGATAGAGATAGAACGTTAGTGTCTTAAAGTTTTTGAATTCTGTTTTAGATAACATATCTGCCTGTCATCTTGCTAGAATCAAGGACAATAAGTGCCAAACAACCAACTCTAAACCAATCCAAATCATCACACTGTCCACGAAACCAATTGAAGTTCTCCGTTCGAATGGCCGACGATTCTGACTGTTCCCTGAAAGTCTTTGACTTTGGGACTAGTCTCCCAGCCGGTGTTCAGCTGGAACATTACTTAAGTGACACGTTTGGAAGATTGACACTAAATGAGAAACTCGGAATGTAAGTATAAGAAGTTGGTGAACTCCTTTACTTTTGTCGATAATTCAACACATGGCTGTGAATGGTTAAAACAAATAATAATGCTTGCTTACTTTAACCGAAAAAGAAGTAGTTCAACCTAAGAAAAATAGACAGTGAGAGTAGTTAATTAGTTAGAACCAGGGGCGGATTTGGGGGGGGGGGGGGGTGGGGTGCTTCTTCTCTTCAGAGAATCGACCCCCCGCCGACCCAAAGGGTCCCCCCTTTGTACTATTTTGAGATATCCATATTTGGCGATGGACCCTGAAAATTTTCTAAAGGCGCATTAGGCGCCAATATATACTAATTTTGAGGTAGGAGCGCGCGTCGAAAAAACGCAATTTTTGGGTCAAAATTTTCTAAAAATGGCCAAAAAACGCCTTTTTTAGCCTGTTTTTCAAAACTTTGACCAAAACAGGGTCTTTTTAATGCTTTGAATAAGCTCGGAAAATCAATTTGTTTGACCTAAAAAAAGGTCGACAAACTTTTCGAAAGTTTTTTGAAAATCCGCCCCCCCCCCAGAAAATCCTAGATCCGCCCTGGTTATAACTATATTTAGTGAATCACATGCTTTGGGCATCTTTCTCTTATACATTTTCAAACCATTCAAAATAAAATTTGGACACCTTATGCAGTGGCGGATCCAGAATTTTTTTGAGACGGGCGGATTCTCAAAAAAAATTCGAAAATTTTGTCGATTTTTTTTTCTCAAGGTCGACCAAATTAAATTTCCGAGCTCTCCAAAATCATTAAAAAGACCCTGTTTTGGTGAAATTTTGGGCGGTTCACGCAAAGTTTGGAAAAAAGAGGTCGAAAAAAGATGTTTCTAGGCACTTTTTGGAAAACTTTGACCAAAAAATTGCATTTTTTTGTCGCGCATTTTTTTCCCCCCTCGAAATTAAAATATATTGGCGTCAAAGGCGCCCTTAGAAACATTTTAGGGTCCGTCGCCAAATATGGATATCTCAAAATAGTACAAAAGGTGGAACCTTTGGGTCGGCAGGGGGTCGAATCCCTGAGAGAAGCGTCCGCACCAAACGTCATATATAGAAAAAGATAAATTGAAAAAAAAAAGTTTAAGTTGGGAAAATTCTGAACACAAGGATCGAAGGGGCGGATGCGGCTTTTAAGCGCCGCTTCGGTGAATGACAAGGAGATGGGTCTGATCCAAACAAGGATTTTAATAGACAATTATGAGAGACAGTAAAGCAGACAAAACAGAAGCAAAGCAAAAAAAATAAGATGAAAATTATTAGTCAATAATAAATAACAATTTTCTACAGCCATTAGTATCATTTTCGTTCGATTCAAGGGGCAAGCCAGTTGTGAAGCACTTATTCGTTTACTCCTTAATTTTTTTGTTCAGCTCGTTATTTAATACACTGTCTAGATCAAATCCGTCTCCATGTCATCCACCAGCCAGTACTGGCATCTTCGATTGTGTAACAGTTCCACCAGGGTCGAGGTGTTCGAAAGCACTACAAAGGCCCTCTTTGATTATTGAAGACATTTTTTGCCGAACTTTTCAAAATTTGAAAGACTGCAAGTGATGTTTATATGTGCTGTTGCAAAAAAAATGAATGACTAGTGTTTTCACTACTGAGAGTGAAAGATTCACAAGCCAGAGTGTTTTGACTACTGGGATTGAAAAATTCATAAGCCATCTTTGTTATCTTTGGTTCTTTTTGTTATAATAGTTGATTTCACTAGTATTCCGACAATTCGGTCACAGACAATTCAGCCAATTTCAAATTCAGACAATTCAGTCAAAATGAGTGAGACAATTCGGCCAAAAACAATTTAGACAGTTTTAAAGTTTTAAAACGTGCGCGCAAAAACTTTTCACATGCGGCAAAACATCAAAGCTTTCATTAGACGACTTATAATTAATTCCTTTCAAATGCACATAAAACAAATATAATTAACAGAAACAAAAGTACAAAACAAATATAATTAACAGAAACAAAAGTACCTAATTATAATAAATTTATGCAAATCATTAAGTACCTAAGCAAAAATCGAACTCAACAAAAAACTGTACAATACTTAAAAAGTAACCAATTTACGCGAATGTGGGACTGAGATTGGGAGTTTTACAGGAGGTCATAAAGGATATCAGTTAAAGGGTTGACCACCGCTAGCACGTACTGGCCACACAGTTACGCTGGTATTCTTATCATGCCTTAGGCGGGAGAGCGTGCAACCGCCTATTAGGTAATTTGGGTAGTTGGTAGAAACTAATTAGAAACTTAAACTTCTTTAAAAGATAAACTAATTGCGATTAAAACATTGTCCAACCAGAAACCAGTACCGCGTTTAACGCCTACTTTTTGCTTTTAGATTGTCCATTTACACAATTAACATTGATTAAACTTCATTAGTAACTAGCTTGAACAACTGACTGATTAGTATCCGAATCATTCTAAATCTTTCACTTTTAGCAAAAGTTGTCGTAAAATGGAATTCGTAACATCTGAACACGGAAAAAGCATCTTTGTCTTGATGGTTACAGATGCCGTGAAAAAAACCAACTTAAGAATGGTCTCATTAAATGGCAATGTACATTTGGAAATTGCAGAGCAGTGGGTTATTTGGACGAACAGCAAGAATTCACCTTAAAAACTGAGCCTGCTCATTTACCGAGCCCCTCAAAAATTCAAGCTAGGAAATTTGCTAACGAAAATCGAGAAAAAGCCGCAAACACTGGTAACGCTCCTCGATAGATTGTCCTCAACGCCCAAATTGACCTGCCTCTTTATGCAGCGCCTACAATACCGATTTTGAAGCCGCTGTTTGCAACGCCATTAGGAAAATGTAGCCTGATACAGAAGTTCAATTCTGTTTCTTCCATCTAGGCCAAGCAGTATAGCGCAAGGTACAAAAACCTGGATTTACGCGCAAGTACATGGACGATGATGAGTTTCGGCTGAATGTCAAAAAACGATTTGCTTAGCATTCGTTCCCGTTGATGACGTTATTTTCGCTTTTGAGGCTCTCCGAAAAGAGGATCCCTCAGAGGAATTTCAGAGTCTATCGGACTACTTTGGCGATACCTATATTAGTGCCTGTCGAGGTAATAGACGCGTCAAACTAAAATTTGACATTGCCGATTGGAACGTTTCCAATCGGGTGCTCAGCGGTGAACCTCGTACGAAAAATGCATTGGAGGCATGGAATAGCTGCTTCAATAAATTCGTGTCGACAAAGCACCCCGCCCTCCCCAAGTTGATCACACGTTTCAAAGATGAGCAAAAAAAGATGAGCAAAAAAAAGGATAAGTTCACAAGAAAGAGTAACACGTCATTCACATTGTTTCAAATATTGAAAAAAAACCTCCATTTTTTCTCCAAATTTTACCTTATATACAACCAAGAACGAAAACAGCTGAAACCATTATCAGGATATGTATACAACTTTTCAGTAAGTCAAGTCCAACAATACAAGATAGATCAAATCAAACAATGACTATAATTGTCCGACCTTGAATTCAATCAAATCTATAAAATCGAATACATGAAAAATACGAGTTCAGATATAATTTCGTTACACGTATACAATAATTCCCCATATAAAATAACCTTACCCCTAGGATTTTTAGGATGTTGTAAAACCAATGCAACAATTTCTCACACAGTAGAAACAGCATATAGAGTAAATATTATCCTAAATTTATTAGATATATGTCAATCAACAATCCTCTATGAAGAATTATCAATTAAAAACATAACAACTGACTTATAACGAAACACAGAGTAATTTACAAAAACTTATTTTTTTTAAATCAACACACCAAGTTTCAACACACCAAGTTTCAACAAGAGAAATTTCTAACAATGTTCAATTTCCAACACTCTCAAATTACACAATAAGAATTTGAACAATTAGCAGAACAACTAATTAAATGTTTTTGCTACATCTAAGTGCGATGTTGGAAAAGTAAATTCACCACTACGTCTACCTGTTAAACCTGACGCAGTTTTCAAAAACAACGAGCAAGTTAAGTTCCATTTTACCTACAAGATAAAATCAATAGACTACTAGATATCTTAGAACAATACGGAATCATTTCTCCAGTTAATAAAAAAAACAACCAAAAACACTTTCATAAATACCGTTATTATTCTCGATAAAGGAGAATCAATAAAAATTGTTCTAAATGCTAGATACCTCAATTTTTTCAGCATTCATGAGTAAAATTTTATGAATGCTGAAAACTTACTCTCAGCAAGAATTTAAAAACCTATTTAGACGATGTTTTCATGCAATCACAAACGAAGCACGAAATGCTTAAAGGATTGAAAAAATATCACCAAATAGTACTTAAGGAAAACATGAAAGCAGCTCCAGATAAATCACATTTCTTTCTTACCTATGTTTAATTATTTGGACATATTATTGAAGGAAATACGATAATTCCATTAAAATCTCGCGTAGACGCAATCACAAAACTTCAACCTCCGTAAAATAAAAAAAAACCAAGATTTTCTTGAAATCATAAACTTTTTAAGTAAATACGTCTATAAAATGCAATTATATTTAAAACCATTTTATAATATTCTGAGACAACATAATAATTTTGAATGGACAACAGCAAACCAAAAAAATTTAAACACTTCTCACTGAACAAATGTCAAATACGATCCCAGATCCCAATCAACCGTTTTATGTCATGTGCGACGCCTCCAATTTTGGAGTCGGCGCAGCATTATTACAATCACAAAAGAAACAAACAAAATGAACCTTATCTCAAGACTAATTACACAAATTGAACTTAGATTCTCTACACTTATGAGAGAATGCACAGCTAAAATAAATATCCTCACAGAAAATGAATTTTTAATACTTAGATCAAATTATCCAACAGGTCTATTCACAGATCATAAACCTATAATTTTCCTATTAACAAAAAATCAAATGCAAACCGTAAGCTTTATAGATTTCAGCAAATTTTAATGAATTTATCAAACTTAAATATAGTCTGGACTG